CATTTTCACTATCCTGCTCTGCATTAGGGTCAACCTTGGCAGCTCTGGTAAGACGACAGTCCAGGCTGACCTCTAGGAGTGTGGCGACAGCGCTGAGTGGTGTCCCTAAAGGACCCACCAGGGGGCCGCTAACTCAGGATGAGGCCAAGGGGGGGAGCGGGATATGTGTGGCTGTGCTGGGGGTCTGTCCCATAGTCCAGGGCCAGAGGAGGGTGGATCGGACGTGGGCCAGATGGTGTCCTCGGAGTCAGTGGGCAGTGACTTGGCCAGGAGGGGGCACCAGCCACAGCATCCAAGCCTGTGTGCTGCCCGCCAACCTCTGCCCCATGGCACTCAGGTGTGCATGTGCCCCACACCTGCAAGGGCTCCTGGGACCAGTTTACTCTTGCATACACTTCTCAGAAGTGACCTCCTTCCTGTTTTTGTTTCTGGAGAGTGGGAACTTTGATTCTGGCTCAGAGAGATCCCCATGTCCCCTGGAGACAGGTGGGTGCAGGGGAGACTGGCCTTGGAAAAGCCAGGCCGAAAGAGTCTGGGTCACTGGTGCTAAGCGGACCAGGACCAGGGCCTTCAGGTGAGCCCTGTGGTGCTCCCCAGGCCTCCCATTCCCTGCTGTCCTGGCCCCAGAGTAAAGGATCAGTCTGAGGTGTGAGCTGGCCCCACCAGACCTCCACAAACACAGGAGGCCCTTCTCACTGTGGCTACTCTGTTCCAGCAGCCTGAGTCCCACACAACCTCCAGAAGCCACACTCTAACTTCCTCCTGGGGTTCTAGTTGGCCCCTAAGGCCCTGAGAACCCAGCCTGCCTGGCTGTGACCTCCGGGATCCCCCACACCCCACACCCTCTCCCAGCTGTGTCCTCATCTCCAAGAGGGACAATGATGCTGTTTTCTGGGGGGGGAGGGGGCCCACACAGGTGAAGGAGACACGTGGGTGAGGGCCCCAGCATGGTGACTGAGTAGTTGGTGCCCCCCAACACCCAGCCTGCCTGCCTGCCTTCTAAAGTACCACTCCACCTGGGCCCATCACCTCCTAGTCCAATCTCTGCATTCGGGTCCATCCACGCTCCAGAACCTAGTTCAGGACACGTTATAGTGACCCCAATCCCGCTAGTGTTGGCTCCGGGCACCCCACAGCTCCAGTCCAGGGTGGGGATAGAGGTGGGCAGTGCCCTCTCCTGCCCAGGGAGACACTCCTTGGTTTCACCACTGGGTGACACCTCTTCCGAGGGGCCCTCCTGCACTTCCCCGGTGGTCTTCATGGACCACAGCCTGGCCAGGGGAGGGATGGTGACCCAGAGTCCGAGTGTCACACACTGCGTCCCTGTCCCGACGGATAAGGAGGACGCAGGGACAGCACAGTTTAAACTTTAATGAGCCAGGTGCCAGGGTGGGGCCTGCAGGCTATGGCCTGGAGGTTGTGCGCACGCGCAGCACGCTGGCACGCAGGGCCTGCCTGCGGTTGCCTCTCCCCCAACGCAGGCTCGTGGGGTCCCCTTTGTGCTGTGGCCTCGGCCCATTGAGGTCGGCCTGGCCGCAGTTGCTGTACCACCAGCCAGAGCCTGTGCGTTCAAGGCTGCAGCTGGTGAAGATGTGGTCACCGTCCACACAGGGCTTGCAGGCATCGTGGTCCCGGTCGAGCGTGCTGAAGGCTCTGCCATCCTGGTTGTCGGAGAGTTCCGAGCCCCGGAACGCGTCCCCTGCACACAGGCACCCCCAGCCACTCGCCTGGGCCCAAACACGATGTGGCCGTCTGCTCCCCACGCCGTTAAGCCCCATCCCCAGCCTGCACTAGCATCTCAGCAAAGCAAGGGGACATTGGTGGGTCAAGAGCAGCTCTGGTCCCTTGGCACAGAGGCGTGCCACCCTCCCACACTCACCAGCGTCCCCCGAATAGTGGCCCAGATGCAGCCGGTACAGCTCGTCCTCAGTGCCCACGCGGAAGCTGTCGTAGTGAGCCTGCAGAGTGACATTGTTGGTATCCTCCAAGTCCACCACCAGCTCGGCTGGCCGGCCCGGCTGGGATGTCAGATCGGAGATGTGCTGCAATCCCAGCCAGTGGTCACCTGCAGAATGGGTGCCAGGCTCAGGGCTGTGCAGCCCGGGCCGGGCCACACTCCCACCCCCAAGGCAGTGGTAGGCAGCAGCCTCATACCTCCCAAGGCTCCGAAGCCCTGTTTGTACTCCTGCCAACACCTCTCAAAGTCCAGAGATTGTTCTCTGTCCACATGTCGACGCTGAATCACCGTCCAGCCGCCACTGTCACGCATGTCACAGAGAACCTGTTGCAGACAGTGCAGTCACGAATGGGCCATGGCACCCTGCCAAGCAAGCAGGCCTGGCCCTTTCCATTCCAACTGTGGGAACCCCCCTCCCTGAGCATCCAGCAGCCCTTTTTTCTGGGTTCGAATGTGAGACATGCAGAAAAACTCACATTCACAGGCCCTCCCAGGGAGCCCTGGCCTGGTGCTGCTGCCCACTTCGGGGGGTCCTTTCCCCTTGCAACTCTGAAGCCTGGGCACTGGTCCCAGCAGGCACTTCCAGGTCCCTCAGCTCCCAGTTATACGTTAGCTCTGTGGCTCCTCTGAGTAGCGTGTCTTGAACTCAGGCCCCAGCCATGGCCTCCCCACACCAAGTACGAATGCTAACAATTTCCTGCCTGCCCCACTGACCAGAGCACTTGAAGCCCTTCCTGAGGTACAGGCAGCCTCTCGGCTGAGGACTCACCTGGAAGGGCGTGCTGGCTCCCATCGGCTGGATGATATACAGGCCGCTAGCAGCACTGGGCTTGTCCACCCAGATCTGAGAGCAGTCCCTCCCTGCTGGGAGAGGTGGAGCCCGGCCCCACCCACGTGCTCTGGAATTCCAGGCTCCTGGGGCCAGAGCCCCTCAGGACCCTTTGCGATAACCCGGTGGACAGGTGCCCCCTCACCTCCTGTTTCCCCAGTGCTTCACCTGCTGCCCCTGGGGGTCGCTACCAGCCCCGGACCCCGCCTGTTCCTCAGGGCGGCCAAGGGGAAGCGTGCACAGAGCCCTGGCCCTCGCTGCTCCGCCTGCACCCTGGGCTCCCTGTCTGCTCTGCCCCTACCTGGGGGAAGGGCCAGACGTGGGGCGAGCGGCCAGCACCCAACCTGCCCCCGAGCACAGGGAGAGCGAGCTCCACTGTGACCACCCTCCCCACACCCGCACGAGGGCAGGCGGCCTGTCCTGACTCCCTGCCCTTCCTCCCTCCCTGCCCTGGCCAACCCTCATGGAGCACAGCTACCCCAGAGAAGCAGGTCAGAACAGGGTGCCCACCAGCCCCTCCAACCCCACTTCCCCTGCCCACCTTGGGGCTGCAGCACCACCACAGGGACCTGTGGAGAGAAGAACGCAGTCAGAGCAGGTGGGCGGCCCGGCTCAGCACTGGGAGGCCCCGCCCATCTACTGGCCCCTTACCGACTCGCGCTGCTGTACTAGTGACCAGGCCTGCGGCTCCACCAGGCAGAGCAGGAGGGCGGCGAGATGAGGCAGGGCACAGGGGACCATGCTTCCTGGGGACGCAGACCCAGAGCCTTCCAAGCTGCTGGCCAGCCGCCCCACCCCGTGAAGCTCACTTACCAAGTGCTCCTTCTGGGCAGCTCTGGCTGCAGGCTGGCCTGTCTTTTGTTCCAATGCCCAGCCGGCCCCGCCTCTGCCCCTCCCATAGGTGGGGGGCTGAGCAGTCAGGGAGCCCGGGGTGTGGATGGAGGGGAGAGGGGCTGGGGCTCCTCTGTGCACACTCCTCCTTGGCTGGCACTAGCCCAGCCTCTCGGGTGGCCCCACGTGGTCAAAGATCTGAGTTCTTGGCAGGGGAGAGATGAGTTCCCCCCCAGGACCCAAGCTGTGCCCCGAGCCGCTCCCAGACCCAGGGGGCCCCTCTGCTCACTCAGGTGTGCCCAACAGGTCAGGGCTGACACACCCACTGGGCCCCCTGTGACCCGAGTCCTATGTCCACATCACTAAACAGGCTTTTCCAAAATTATAGACTTTATTTCAATCTCGTAAGCAAAGTGCACACCACATGTGAATGACACGGGGGACAGAGTGCAGCTGCGCCTAGGCCGCTGTGTCCCCCAGCCTCGATTTGGTTCAAGAGAGTCAACAGTCACTCCACGGCCCAACTCAGAGTTGCCCACCAGTGCCTCATCAACAGGACCAGGTGGGGACGAGGTTGGTGCCGTGCAGTCCACCCTAGGGTCGGTCAGCACCCTAGTGGGATCATCCTTCCCAGCCCCCAACCGGCCAGTGAGAGGGCGGGGTCGTGGGGCAGCGCTGGACGGCCTGCTTGGCGTGCAGTGCCCCACGTGCCCCCGAGGACCCGAGAGAAGCCACTCTTTGTCCCAAGCAGATTTAAGGCTTGTTTCTGACGTCACTTCACTGTTTAAGTTAAAATTACCTGAGCACAAGTTTCCAGACATTTTAAAACATGGAGACCACTGGCTGAGCCCCCAGCAGGGCTGGCGTCAGCACGGGTCTGCCCAGCCACGGAGCAGGGGCTCCTACAAACCCATGCTGGCACAACACAGTCTTTCCCAAACCTGCCTGGCCTGGAACCCCACCATGAGGCCATCGGGGACGAGGTGCTCCTGCCAGTAGCCCAGGAGGTCCAAGGGGGGCCGTGGAGGCCAATGACCACCAGAAGGCACAGTGAGGTAGGGGCGCCGGGGGCAGTCCCACGTGGCCCCCAGTGTGTGGGAGGCTTCGGGGAGCAGAACCGCCAATAACTCTTCACTGGACGGCTGGGGGTGGCGAGGCCTCGATGACGGGAAAGGCAGAGAGGCTTGGCCCAGACCCCTGTAGGGCAGCGAGGCTTGTCGTCTAGATACCAGCCTGGAGCCGGAGACAGGCACAGGCCCCACTACATGCCCGTGCTGGCGGGAAGCCCCACCGGGTGCCCCTTGGGCCTGGCTCCCACGCCCCACAGCTGTGCTTGACAGCTCTGGCGCCCTCTGCGCGCGGGGCTTGGCCACACCACGCCGCCTACTTCTTTGGCAGGACGGTGGACACTCTCTGGAGACAGTCCTGTGCCACAGGCAGTGCTGACACAAGGTTCACTGTGCGCCGGCCCAGCCAGTAAAGGCTGTAACCCACCAGGCCGAAGAAGGCAGCCTTCACAGCCATCCGGGACACTCGGCCAGAGATGGACGGTGGGGGCACGCTGTGGATGGAGAGGGGCGGGGTCCGGCTGAAGGCACTGCTCCCCACGCCAGCACCCCCCAAGGGCCCCCTCCCCGCCCCCCGACAAACTCACGTCATGATCTCCTGGATGTTGAGCTCAGTGCTCCAGTTCTTCTCGATGCCGGGCACGTGGCCCATGCCCACGACACCCACAACCACGGACGGGACGCACTTCCTGGGCTCGGCTGTCGGGGAGGGGAGTGTCAGCAGCAGCGCCCGGCCTGGCCCACCCAGTCCGTGACGGGCGGCCCGCCTCACCCTCCGAGGCACGGGGCAGCTCGAGGCGCCGGGCGGCCTGGCGCAGCACGTGGGTCAGGTAGACGTCGCGCTCGGAGACGATGGTGCGGTGCAGGTCTGGGAACTCCCCGATCATCTCGGCCATCATCTGCTCCAGCAGGTCCTTCTGCTTGCACTTCTCCACGTCATCTTTGCTGCGGGGTGCCCGCGGGCGGGCAGGGCTGGGTTGAGGTGGGGTGCCAGCGGAAGGGAGGGCGGGAGGGCCCTGTTTGAGGAGCCGTGCGGAGTGGACGGGGGCCAGCAAGGTGGGGCTGGGTCACCCCCAGGCCCTACCTGATGGGGTCCGACAGGAAGCAGAGGCCCCAGGCTAACTTGACCTTCTGCCAGAAGGAGAGTGCGGCAATGGCCCTCTTGAACGTGACGGGAATGGGCCGGTCGCCCAGATGGAACTTGCAGAAAGGCACCTTGCTGGCCTGGGGCAGAGGCCGGCATCACGGTCATCCACAGGGCCCACAGCACCCTGGAGACGGCCCCCCGCCCCAGCCAGGCCCACTCACCTCCTTGAAGGCCTCCCTGAACTCGCCACCCGGCGCCATGCCCAGCTGCTCGGTGATGTGGGCCGACACCTTCAGCAGCAACATCTGCATAAGGCCAGACATGACTCCGTTCTGTGGGGGGACGGGGTGGTCAGCATGCAGGCTTGCGGTGGATACCCTAGGCCGCCTCCTGCCTCCACGTGTGTGGCTGTCGTGACCCTGAGCCACCCCCACCCTCTCCCCACCTAGCCCACGCCTCCTGGTCTGTCCCCCACTGGGGCCTCCCAGGACAGAACCTCGAGTACCCTGCCTCTCCTCCCACATCAGGCTGCAGCAGGCCTAGACCCCCACCCTGCGTGCACCACCCACCTCACCCCCTCTGCCTCCTGCCAACGCTCAGGCTGGGGCTCTGTGCAGTACCCACACCCTGTGATCTCTCCTGTCTGCCCCCCCGTGGCCAGCCTGGCACGCGGAGCCTGGCGCCCACGTGTGAAAACCCAAAATCTCCAAGGCCCAGGTACCTGGAGAAGGGGTGAAGGAAAATGGGGTACAGCCACAGTTCTGCCAGAACAGGCTGACTGGAGAAGGTTGGGGGAGGGCTGTGGGAGCATGCAGCTGTCCCAGCAAGCTCCTCACCCAGAAGCTTGTGAAGATCTCCACTGGGCCCTGCCTCCCATGGAGTAGGACCCCATACCGCCCAGGGAGCCAGACTCCCCCATTTTCCCCAACAGAGCTGTGTCCCCATACCTGACCGTGGAGCCGGACCCTCATACACACTTCATAAGCCAGGCCCACCATTACCCTCAACAGAGCTAGGCCCCTCACCCCCAAAGAGGGCTGGGCCCTCATACCCACCCGTGGAGCCGGGATCCCTCATTTTCCCCAACACAGCTGGGCTGCCTCATACCCCCAATGAAGCCAGGTCCCCTACCCCCCATGGAGCTGGGCCCATTCCCCTTCTCCGTGTGGAGAATGGGAGGGAGCCGGCAGAGGCTCAGAGCAGGCTGAGGTCCAGTGACTTTTTAATCCTCTTCCCAAACAGTCAGCAGCACACAAAGGGGACAGTGATGCAGTCACGGACCGCCGCACCCCGAGGGCTGTGGCCGGGTGTTTGTGTGGTGGGCTGGTCCTATGCAAACAGGCAGAAGCCAGGCTGGCAGGCAGCCTGTCACATATCACATCCACGGCTGCCCGTGAGGCCAGCAAGGCAGGGCCCCGCTCCCACGGACTGCCCTCTGCCCACCTCTGCGTTCTCCTGGGAGAAGTCCCACCTCACTCTGGAGCAGTGGTATGGCCACTGCCGCTTCGGGCGACCCCTCCACCCACAGCTGAGCCAGTATGGGGTGGCTCAGCGGGCCCGGCTGTCCAGACGCTGCATGGCAGACAGGCTTGGTCTGACCAGCTCCAGGGAGGTGACCCCAGGCCCTTGAGACAAACAGCCTGAGTGAACATCTTGTTCACTTGGGCCTGGGCCATGCAGTAGGCACCTACGTGGCATGGGGGAGGCCATATGCTGTGAGGCATTCGTTTGGCCCCAGAGGGTGAAAGACCTAGGTCAGTGGGTGGTCAAGTTCACCGCCATGACTGATCCCCCGTGAAAATCCAGATACCAGCCCACGTGAGCGTCTCCAACCAGCAACGCCTGTATGTCGTCCACACGACCACTAGGGGGAGAGTGCTAGGCAGGCTGGGCTCCTCTGTATGACGGGAAGAGCCCTGGGCCTGGCCGACAGTGGGGACTACATAGGTGACATGGGGCTCCGTGGACTCTCTCAGCCTCAGATACCCTACCTGAAAGCAAGGTGCATCCCTGACCCACCTGAAGGCTCTGAGAGGCCAGGCTAGGACCATGCCTGCTCTGTGCAAGACACTAAGGAGGCCTGTCAGGCGCCACGCCCCCCCGCCTCCTCTACCTGCCTGACACCCACGGGTGTCCCCAGCCCCCGCCCCAGACCTGCCGCACAGCCTGCTGCAGCTTCCCCAGGCTGATCTCCTTGGCCTCACGCAGCAGCGTCCGTTCGTCCATCTTGAGCATGGACACGCGGTACTGGCACAGCTCCACCACCACGACATCAGGCTGCACCGCCCGGATGGTCTGCAACAGCTTGGCGTCAGCACGCAGCCAGCCTGCCCGCCTCCAGCCCCCTCCAGAGGTTAGCCGGGGCTGGGGAGCCCACAGCTGGGGCGGCAACCCTCCAGAGAGCCAGCCACGAGGCGGGTCTGCTCGCCATTAAAGAAACAACAAAGCACTCTTAGGGCTCGGGGGCTGGACTGCCAACTGCTCTGGGATCCCTCTGCCACGTGCCAGCTACGGTGAAGTGGGGGTTCCTTCTCTTTCCACCTGGTGCTAGCACAGGTCATCCAGCCCAAGGACCCCTGCTCAGTGAGTTCACCTGGCAGGGGTGCAGCTTGCCACAGCCCTGGGGCCCTGCCTCCCAGACCCCCACCTTGACGACGTCCCTCTTGCTGTCATCACTGAAGTGGGCTGTGCCCACCACGTATACGCGGCTCCCGTCTTCGGCCACCAGCTCTGTCACGGTGCGCGGCAGGTCAGGCCGTTCACGCCGACGCTTCAGCTTCACCTCCAGCAGCAGATTGAAGGCGTCCACGTCAGCTGTGGCCACAGCAGAGGGGCACACGTGACTGGGCTGGCATACAGCAGCCTGCTGCATGTGGGGTCTCCGCTTGTGACAAGCCCGGATTCCCCCTGGGTGGGGCACACAGGCAGCAGCCGCGCCCGGCGGGTGGTCTGAAGGCCTCGGCCTCACTGAGCTCCACCTCCCGCTCACGCAGTAAGCACAGAGGGCAGGGCTCCCCACTGCCAGCCGAGGTACCCCACGGCCCGGGAGGGCAAGGCCTGCCACGCACTCGGGGGCTCCAGTCAGCATGTTGCTGGGGAGGGGGCCTGCCCTGACTCCCAGTGGAGGGGACGGTCCAGCAGCCCCACACCTGCGTGTTCCCGAGCACCCGCTCACTTAAGTCAACAAGACCCCCAGACACATCACCAGCAGGGAGCACCAGTGACCACTCCCTCTCGGCCACCTCGGACCCAGAGCACGTACTCAGATTCTGGGGTTCTCCAGATAGCACTCTGGGTGCCGACCCTGCAGCCCCCGATGTTGCAACTGGCTCTGTGGCAGCCTGTGGGGAGAAGATTCCAGAAGGCCCTCAGCCAGCCCTGCCCAGGCTGCACATGCTTAGATGGGTCTGTCTACCCTGGGCCAGGCGCTCAGCAGCTCCAAGGAGCCACCTGGCCACTGCTGTGGGGCCCTGCTTCCCAGGGATCCTCTCCACTGAGCCCTGTGTCCAGAGATGAGGCAGTGAGACCTGGGGGAAGGGGTGGTTTATACTGCGTTAGGGGGCACAGTGTAGGCCATGGTCCTCTACATGGGGAGGGGCGTGGCTCTCCAGGGCATGGCCATTGTCAAGGCCAGATGGAGACTGAACTGGGCCTGGTGAAGGGGTGTGCTAACTGGAGCAGAGGGAGCCAGGAGCTGAGATAGAGAGATGTGGAGTAATCATGGGTTCAGGGCAGAATTGTAAAGGGACCCCTCCACGCCTGTCCTGAGAAGAGAATGCACATTGGGAAGGAGCAAGAAGCCAGAGATGGCCCCTAAGGCCCCACTGTGGTCAGCAGAGCGACCCCCAGGATGTCTGTGCCCTCATCCCAGCCTCTGTGAATGTGACCCCACCTGGCCCAGGGGAGTTAGGGTGCAGCTGGGCAGTGACCCTGGGTTATGGACGGGGTGTGATGACAGGGGTCCTTATGAGTGAAAGGGGGCTGGGGAGGGGATCAGAGAGATGGAGCTGGAGGGCAGCATCACCGCCTTGGAAAGGGGGCAGGGCCACAAGGCAAGGGCTGCGTATCCCCGGGTGCCCGTCGAGGTCTGGATGCTGAGCCTGTGGGCAGGCGGGGATGCCGCCTCCGGGACCGTGTGAACTCTGTGCCTTCCAGCCACCGGGTCTGAGGCCACTGCTACAGCAGCCCCTGCTGGCATTCACACGCAGCGTCACCCCTCCCCAAGGGTGGCGTGGCCTTGGGGACATCGTTACCTCTGAGCTCCGGGCAGATGTGTGGCCACAGTGCCCAGAGTTCAAGGGAGGACCAGGTGAGGGGCTGGGGCACGGGGCTGGGGGTGGTGGTGCATGGGGTCTGCTGTAGGCTGATCGGAAGGAAGGCCACGTGGCGGCAGGGGACTTGAGAGGCTGGGTCGGGCCGAGGGTCTGGGTGATGGCGGAGTTCCTGGGCCATGGCAGGAGGGCCGCAGGTGTGCAGCCCTAGGTGTCAGTATGTCCTGAGAGCAGGGTTGCCCCTCAGGTGAGGACTCCCCAGGACCAAGGACCCAGACTCAGACTTTGAAGGCAGGAAAACTGGTGTGTGTGTGGTGGGAGAAGGCTGCTAGCTCCCTACCCACCTTGGTCCCCCAGGGAGGCCTCCTCAGGGTCAGGTGGGTGGGAGACCCCATCAGTCGCCCCATTGACTGGCACCACTCCTGGGCACCTGGGAGCTTAACCCCTGAGCGGGTCACTAGCCAAGGCTGCCCACAAAACCCAACCCACAGCCCTGAGTCCATGCTACTGAACTATCCAGCACCCCAGAGGCTTGAGAAGTCCCCTGAAGTCTCCTGTGTGCACAGCCATAGCCCCGGCGACCGCCCCCCGCCCAGCTGCGAAGGGCAGAGCTGGCTCAGCCTCTCACCCCTCCTCACCTCCTGGGCTGGCTCCTCCTCTTCTCCCTCCATGGCTGCTCCCTGCTCCACAGGTGAGGCCTGAGGGGAGAAGGCGGGGCCTCACCAGGAGCCCAAGAGCCTCACCCAGGCCTGGGGCCTCCCTGCTCCCGAATCAATCGCAGGCAGGCTGCGGGTGCTCTGCGTGGGACGGGACAGAGGCCTGCTCAGGGGCAGCAGATGGGCACATCAACTGTGAGGAGGAGGGTCGAGGACAGGTGTCCCCTCCACGTGTGGTGCCTCACAGAGGCTAACCCCTGACCCTTCGGCACCGGGACTCCAGCACCACAGGGGGACTGCACGGCAGCTCACATGCACGCCCGCTGCCATACACGACGCTGGGGTGACAGGGCCTGCGGCAGAGAGAAGCAGCCCACCTGTGGGTCTTGTAGAGGCCTGCCTGACCCCTCCGAGGGATCTCTGAGGACAAAAGCCAGCTCACAGAAACCTAACCCGTCCTCAGAGCCTACAACGGCAAGGGGTTGGCACTGCTCTTAGTGACAGCACCAGACAGAAGGAACGCTGGGGAAGCCAGCGAAGCCGTCACATTGTCAAAAGCCAAAGCTCTTCCCACTGAAGGTACCAAAGGCAGCCAGCGTTGCATCGGAGCACGTGCGCGAGAGACCGGTGCTCAGCGAGCACGGCCTGCCTGTGGCCTCCTGCACCCCTCCCAGGAGCCCCCGGGGAACGGCGTGGAAGCCAGGACCCTCATTTCCACCAGGAAGGGAGGAGGGGTGCCAGGGAGGGGAGGGAAACAGACTGCCAAAGGCCCGCCTTGGGGGTGAAGGGTCAGCGCCTGCCGGGGGCCAGCCCACACCCCAAACACGCAGACAAACGCCAAGTCCCCATCCTCCCTCCAGAAGCACCCTGTGAAGCAGGCCAACAATGGCAGGAATGCTCCTTTGTGGAAGTTTCACTAACAAAAGTCCACAGCCACCTGACTCCAGACCAAGGCGATGGTGCCGACGGGCCTCAGTGCACGTGCTGGGGGAGGCCGCGCCACCTTGGGTGGGACATGCCAGGGACACCAGCTGGTTCACAGGGGCCCGCGAAGCCAGTCGACTGGGAGCCCGCCAACAGCCCAGAGCAGCCCAGGCGCAGGCTCACCCCCCAGTCATACTTGGGAAGAGGACCTGGGCTCGTCAGCCAGGGCCTCAGTGCTCACACCCAGCTCAGGGAGCCGCGTACAAAGGACGCAGGCCTGGTGACACGCGAACCTTGAGGGGTCACTGACAACCCATGTGGCGGCAGTAAAACGCTGTGGTCTTCTGGTCTGTCTCTGGAGATGTGTCTCAGGTGAGACGACACGAGGTCTGGGATTTGCCTGAGAAGAACCTGCTGCTGGGGGCGGACGGGACACGCACGTGACTGGCTGTTGAGCCGTCTCTGTTCACGCCACGTCTGGCTCTTCCGGGCGCTTTTCAAGTTTGCGCAATGAGGACGGTACCAGCTAGGGCTCCCTTTCCTGGGTGGGGGCCAGCCAGGCTCGGGGAGGGACCTCTCAGAGTTCCAACTGTCCTGGGACGCAGACTGTGCCAGGAACTACCCCAAGGGGGAGCCTGGAGGAAGGGTCCAGAGGAGGCGGTTGGATGAGGAAGAGTGACGGCTCGCAGGAGCTGTGGTAGAGGCCACCTCGCCCCTCTCTGTGCAGGCCAGCCTGGGAGGGGCCCTGCCTCCACCCCAGGGGAGAGGCCCCCACCTGGCTCGCTGAGCCCTTCCCCCACCCCAGCTTTGTAAAGGTCAGGTGTCAGCGGAAGTGACAGAGGTCATGCTGGCCCCACGCGGGCACGGGTCCAGGCCAGGGCTCAGCAGAACCTCCCCTGGGGGGGCCCTCCCCCATCTCCCAGATTAAAACGACAAAGTCCACCATGCACACAGGGACAGGGTAGGGGAAGATCAACACAGCCACTGAGCCAGGAAAGCTTCCGAGAAACACCCAGCAGGTGTGGGGAGGCAGCAAATGGGAAGTGACCACGTTGCCCTCAGACACCCGCCCTCAGAGGGCAGCCGCAGCAGCGACATAACCACACCCAGGAAGCCACTGGGCCAACCAGCGACCAGCGCCTGCAGCGGAGACAGGCAGCTCCCTGGGCGGCGGCGGGAGCTGCAGGCTGTCCCGGTGCGAGGAGGCTGGGAACAGAGAGCCCGTGGCTCTCCCACCACACCGTGGGGGACTTGGCCGAGGCATGCTCTGAGATGGTGAGGGGCAGACGCTCCAGGCCTGGCCCCACCTGCTGGCACACTCCATGTGCGATGGCGTTTCTGCTCATGCATCCTCGAGTATTAAGAACAGAACCAAGCCTTCAGCCCCCGCAGGCCAACCAGAGTCCCCTCCCCGGTCCACCCCGTGTCCTCCCACACAACCTGGGCTGTCTGGCCCCAGCAGGTCCACCCCACAGCACAGAGCCACCAACACTGACATCTGCATGGTCCCGACAGTCACTCCCAGATGGCCCCGAATGCCACATTCCAGGGGTTCGAAGGCTTCCCCTGCTCCCAATGCAAGTGCAGGGGATGGTCCCCGTCTTGCACAGCTCCAGGGAGGCTAGCCTTCGCTCCTGTCTGCTCAGCCACTCGCCCCTCCACCCGGCTCTGTGCCTAGACACGAAGGTGCCCCTCCCACAGTGCCCGTGAAGGTACAGCTTGTGGAGACACTTCTGAGCAGGACAGCATGCCAGCCAGGGCACCAAGTGAGCTGGTGGCCAGCAAGCAGCCACCACGTGGGAGGACCAGCCCGGGTCGGTCCCAGGCGGCCACCTGCATGGAAGCTCCTACAGTCAGCACAAGCCCCAGGGCCCAGGCAGAGGCCCCACTCCAGCCCTGCACCCTCTCCCCACTACAGACTGTGGGCTACATCCGGGTCACACTTCCACCTCGCGCCTCCGGGCCTCTCTGAGCCTCCCCGTGTGGGGTCCAGACGGCGGGCAGGGTGGACACTCAGACGCAGCACTTGGCATCGGAAGTCACACGCTAGGTGACCCCCAGGATACCTGCTCCCCATCGGTGGGAAGGGACAGCACCTCGTGTCCCTCATTTCAGGGCAGTGCTGCTCTCTGCTTTGCATCCACACCGCCCCAGGTGGGCAACAGGGACAGACTGTCCCACGGGCTGCCAGCCAGTAGATTTCTGGCCCCTGGGAGACAGTCCTCAGCCCCGAAGAGGGCACAGCTTGTCAGGCAGGAGCCACAGGGATTGAGCCCTGTCAGGGCCCCACCCAGGGTGCGGGAAACACGGTCCTGGGCACGGTTGGAGTAACAGTACCCATCCATCACCCTGACAGGGCAGATCCACGGACCTTGGACCGCCAGCCCTCGGGGAACACCCGACCACAGGCCCAGTGGAGCCGGATGCCCCAGAACCTTCCGCGCCCTCGGGTTGCGCCCTCTTGAGACACAGAAGTCAGGCACTGGCCCCCAGCACTGAAGGAGGTTTCCGGAGAAGCCGGATTCCCCGAGCAACACCCCGAGGCCGGCTTCGCCAGCCCGAGGCTCCCGAACCTAGTACACAGGCAGCCGCAAGGCAGGAATCACAGGTCCGGGTGCGGTGCAGTGTCCCCAGCGCCGGCGCACCTGGCCCCATGTCCGGAGCCCGGACCGCAGCAGCCCCTCGTACCTCCGCTGCACACCGGCCAGCCTTCAAGCGAAAGCCCCCCGACTGCCGCCACGCTCTGAACCCCGGGATCCCAGGTCTCCGGGACAGCTGGCCTGCGGGGCGGAGACTGCACACACCTGGGACCCCGACGTGGGGGGCACTGAGCCGGGCGCTCCTGGAGATCCCTCCCGGGACACTGACACAGCCGGGCCTCGGTCCGTCCTGGGGCAGCTTCCAGAAAGACGCTCGCTGAGCCCTGGCGGCCCTCGGCCTGGCCCCGGGGCCGCCCCGTCCGACCCCGGAAGGCCGCACAGCCGGGCCGCTGCCCCCTGGCGCCGGAGCGGGGACACCGCAGCTGCACCG